ACCCAGGCGTCTGGTGAAAAGGCAGATTTTGATGTGGAAATGCTCGTGTGGGMGTGATTTTGAGTAAAATGCTCACGCTTCTAGATCATTACAATTGTCTCATAAGTGATTGTCTCTAGACCAGGCATTCTCAAAGTGTGGTCCTCAGACAAGCAACGTGAAYATCATTTGTTAGAAATGCAAATTCTTAGCCATATCCAGCCCTACCCAGGCAAGCCCTCGGGAGGAGCTTGCTAGGTCATGTGCTCCAGGTGGTTCTGCTGYGGGCTGGAGTTTCAGAGCACCCATCTAGAGTTTGCCTTTATGGACACCACACACACCAAGGATCTYTGTACAGGTGCAATAAGAAATTGTCAATGTTTCCACAAGGTGGGTTTTTAAAGGACTGCAGCTTTGCCCTCAGCTGATTTTTCTTTCTCTCTTAGTTAATCCTTTCTCTGTTCCTAATTTTAAAATAAAAATCATCGCCTGCTGTTCCCTGTCCGTTCATGGTGCTTCCTGTATCTTCTCCTTCATTCTTGTTTCTGTTACCTGAAATGCTCCTATTCTTGCTCCCTGGAAGTCTATCCTTTCTTCAAATTCTAGCCAAATGCTGTCTCCTCTGTCTTGTTTCTCAGATCACCATGCTATGAAGTGTGGCATTTTACGTTCTTGAACTCGGTTGTGATTAGCACCTGGAGCAGGGCACTGGGACAGTGGTTCTCCACTGGGGCTGACCTGCCCCCTGGGGAGCACTTGGTATTCTTTGTGAACTGAAGGTCTTGGTCTTTCACTTTGTAAGGCCACTAATAATTTAGCACATTATGATTTTCCTTGCTCTTTGGTTCTACTGGTGACCAAACAATATGGCGCTTCGGGTGAGGCGTGATGTGCACAAGGTTCTCTTTCCCACAGAGCCCTCGCCAAGGTGCACCCTCATGAAGATCCTGATCTGAGATGCACCATGGGTTGGAGATTATCTCTAGGAGCTAAAGGAGACCTTGGAAACCCACAAGTCCAGTTCTTATTCAGTTCCTATACCAGTTCACGGGTGTGAAACTCTTGGGCAAACTAAACTCAAATTTTCAGATTTTTAAAGGCCATCAGTCATTCACCCATAAATTCCATAACACCTCAACACCCCAGCAGAGTCTGGGCAGCACCTGGTGCTCAAGCACACAGTGTGTGACAAATAACTGAGCAGCCACACTAAGTATGATGAACAAAGACCACAGAGGGCTTGCAGCCAGCGCAGAGCGGGTTTTGCCACCAAGCCAGTTGTGAAATGTTATTTGGGATATTTGAGAGAGCCAGGTTACAGGCTGATCAGATGGTCATGAGTTTGGTCTTGATGAGCTGGTTGCTTGGCCTGCATTTCAGCCCTGCTGTCCTGACCACGCTGGGAAGGAAAGTGTCTCGGGTTGGGCCTGGGAGAGCATGTTTCCCCAGGGAACTCTGCCAGGTCTCAGTGGGCTCCGGTCTGGGATATGCAGTTCCAAAACACCATGTGCTCCCGTTGCTTGGCTTTTCTCCTCTCTGTGTCAGACAGATGTTCCGTCATTCAGTCAGCTGGTGAGCTGAGGTGTCCATCATCCACTGGGCTTGGCCTTCTTCTGCTATCTGAGCTGAGCTGAGCTGATCATTCTGAGTTTTCATATTTGGCTGGCGAGAGACCATGGCAGTCTGGAGCAACACTTTTGCAAGCAGATATTTTTCAGGCAGTACTTAATGTTACTTCCCCACACCAACATGGGGGTCTTCAGATCTTATGGCCCAGGGGCACAGCTTCTAGGAAGAAGGGGGATGGTATCAGACACTAAGGAAGAGTTCAAGTGGAGAAACCAGACAGACCAAATACATTGAGTATTTTGGTGGTTATTGGTATGTATTTAATCTTTATTTGTTATTCAGTTTAAATGCTTTTATCTTATTATTATTTCTTTAAGAGCAGCTTTCCATAATGTGAGCCTTATCAAGATGAACAGGTCATCACTGGCTAACCTTCACCTAGGTCAGCGCCAGTAAGATATGACCTCTGTGTCACCCTAATCTTAGAAAATTGATATTTTATTGTTTAACCCATAACTGTTAACAAGGACTGAAATATGAGTGCATGGTATTGCAGCTGAATCAGGATTAAAAGATCTTATCTGTAAGTGTTAATTCTATTTATAATGGTGTAGTCTAAGTGCTCCTTTATCAGACTGTGGTGATTAGCTTTTCCTACGTTCATGTCTGGGCTTACATCCTGTTACGTGCACTGGGTGTATTTAGTATCTACCATAAGAGACTGAATAGAAGAAGAAGTTGTGCTAGCTGAAAAATACCATTCCCATCTCAAAAGGATGACCCAGGGTCTGGAGGCTCTGTAGACCCAAGCAGCAGCCACCTGGGGGAGGTGTCTTACTTGCTCATCAGCACAGTGAAAGCCAACCAATGGTTCCTTGCCACTTGAGGCTTTTAATCAATACATATCTTATATTTCACTAGCTGATCAACCTTATTTACCAAGGGAGACTGTGGGGYTTCAGGCCATGTTACTGTTCAGATAAGACCCATCTATCTAGTTGGTTATTTATCCATCATCTCCCTCCCTCCCTGCCTGTCTCCCTCCCTCCCTTCCTTCCTGTTCATTTATCAGCTATCTTTTGCCTTCTGCTTACCTACCTATCATCTATCTCTGTGTATTTATGAAAAGGAAAAAAAAAAGGATTGGCTTGAGTGACTACGCACACTTCAATTTCCTTCTCCTCCTTACAGCTGGATCCCAGAGGTTCGTGGATGAATCAGTTCACCACAGTCTGGTACCATATGCCCTCAAAGAAATACAGACAGTAAAGGCATCTTTGGTCTTCAAGAATTGCTAATGTGGGCCATCCACTGAGACCCAAAGTCATTAAAAAAAAATTGCAAGTTCCTGCTAGGAGGAGGACTGTGTTAGCACATCATTAGTTTTCCCTGCACAACTCTCAGCAAGAACTGCATCCTACTGTTTACTTTTGAAAGGTTAAACCAGCTATTGGTTGTGGATAAGTAACGTCTATACCACACTCTGCCTTGATGAACCTGCATTTCACTCTGCAACTCAGATGAAGACCAAGCTCTGTCTTTAATGCTACATCTTTCTCTCTCTCTAGAAGGAGGGGTGGGAGCATTTCTTTGAGGAAACCCAGAAACCTGGAGTCCTACAGTAAACAAAGCTTCAAGGTCCAATGCCTAGGTAATTTTTAGGAAATTCATATGTAATTTTCTGTCTGCTGCTCTATTCTGGAAGTTAACATTTCCAAAAAGAGGCACAAATGAAGTATATTTGGATTACTGTTAAATTTGGAGCAAGAACCGTGACTTCAGACTTTGAGCTGAATTAATCTATGTGGCGTGAAGGGCAGTCAGTTTTAAAGGAAGATGGCAGCCAATTTCTTTTGTTATTTATTTTTTTATTTTTTCCAAGAACAGTTAACATTTACTAGGCACCTATTGGCCTCAGTCACTTGCATCTAAAGAGCGAAGCTAATTCACCCACAGCCCGTGTTCTTTGAAATGGTTAGCCTTATTTCTTAGCTCTGTTAACCACTAGTCTAACATTAGCTTCAAGTTCAATTTTAATCATCTACTCCATAATTGTCTACTGCTCCCTGCCATGAACAAAAAGTTTAGGGGGGAATAAGGCGAGCAGTTTACATTTTCTGTGGACACTTCAAGTAATTGGCCCCAAAGTGAAATTATCGATTGGCCATGGTTTGTAGTGTTCTGAGGGCGTAAAACGTGGAAGGAAATTGACCTGTAGAAAGAGTTGGTATCCAAGAATGTGTGGACGTGTGAAAATCCTATAACTTCACTTCAACTGGCCTAATATCCTGAGTCACTAGATGGTCAGAAGAATAGATACAGTACGAAAGGAACAAAACCAATGTACATTGATACTAAAAACCAAAAACAAAGTCTGCACAAATGAACAGCAAATGAARTCGCTTCTATCCAAATAAGATCTCACACAGGTCATTTTTTTCCCTACGTACATGGACATACACACACCCACACACTCACAGACGCACAGCAAGGATGCGTATTTTTTTTGTAAGCTAGGTCCTTGGAAATAGACATTCTTAGCAAATATGGATGACAGATCAATTGTAATTTATTTTCTTTTTAACACTGTATCATCATAAAGAAAACTGGTATAAATGAAAAAATCTATTTCAAATATCTACATCTAAAATTTTAGGCAGTGGAAAAGCACTTTGTTGACAAGGAGAGTGGAATGATGGATGTTAATCGTCAGGAACTGCTGAATGCCTCGTTAGTTGCCACAAACAAATTCACATATCAGAACGAACAATACTGCTAAATATTCCTTTTTTTCCTTTTTTTTTTCCTTTTTTTTGTTTTTTGTTAAAACATACTGGGAGAAAGAAAAGAAAAGAAAAACTGGAAATCCATACATCTTTCAAAAGTTTGAAATTGAAGCAATATTTAGAACCATAGATGAGGAAACACGGTGGCATTGGTGTAATATACACAATGCGCTCTTCTTCTTTAATCTGTAATGTACATCAAATACTTTACAACAATGCATTAACAAAAGGCAAGAAACATCTTGCTATACAGAGGAACCCCAATGCAACTTGAAGCCTAGAGTCACAACGGATGAAGAGAGTAAACAAAGCGTGAGAAGCCGTCCCCCATAAGTGTGTAAACTCTTCTGTGTCTTGTGCTTAACTAACCTCCACGCCCCGCCACCGGCCCTCTCCTCCYTCCTTCCTCTGCCGCCTTCCACATAAAGCACTCTTTAAGCCCTACAGCTCAGACTAGAACAGTGTGGCCCCTTGTCGTGTTTAGGATCTACCGTTTGCCGAGTTAACGTCTGATTCGTTTAGCTTTCTAAAATAGCTCTTAATAATCCCTTACTGGTTATCACAGCCTTCCTATGGAACAGGCTTGAACAAACTAAATTTGCAGGGTGGGGAGAAATGTCTCGTGGTGTCTGCATGCACATGCACTGCTCCGGGCGCCTGGCCGGCTCACACCCAGGAGTCGGGCGAGGCCGGGTAGTGGCTCGTTTCATAGTTCAGTTCGCTGTAGGGACGGGCTGCCGAGTAGAAGTCGACGTAGTTGCCCGTGGACTTGAGGCCCAGGTGCATGGTGTACTCGCTGGCAGGAGGGCGGTGGTGGACCTGGTCCTCAAAGAAGGACTCGTCGTAATTCCTCGTGGAGTTCTGAAACGGCTGGTAGGCCTCGTAATCCTTTCTGCTGGGCTCTTGGGGGACTGGTTGTGCTGAACCCTGTGAGGGCAGAGGGGAGAGCCAGGCTGGGTTAACTCATTTTCCACCAGCTCCCTCCCGCCAAGCCACTCCACCCGGCCTCGGAGAAAAGCCCACTCCGTGCTGGGCATTCACCCCTGAGCATTCTCCCAAGGCTGCCACCTGTGCTATTTTTTTTAAGAAAAAAAATTAAATTGATCATAATTATGGGTGAGCTGAAATGATTGTACAGATACACAACAAGCCAGGATCAAATCGGTGCAATGAGTCTTTCTGTCTCCTCCAACATTTATCATTTATCTGTGCTGGGAACCTTTGAACCGCCCTCTTTATAAAATATGTGGAATGTGCTGTGTCCTGTGGTCACCCTGCGGTGTTCCTCCCCTGTAACTGGATTCTGGAGCACGTTATCCACCTCCCTCCCRCCCCTCCTCTTTCTCCCTTCCTAGTCTCCAGGGACCACTGTTCTACTCTCTGCATCCACTCTTCCAGGCATGAGTGAGRACCTGGGGCACTCGCCCTGCTGTGTCGGCTTTTTTGACCCAACACAGAATCGTCCCGTTCCAACCCTGCTGCTGCAGATCACAGGAGGCGGTTTTCTGTGTGGCTGAATAATATGCTACTGTGCACATATATCACAGTTTCAGAACGGGTTCTTGGGTCCACACGTTATCCTTCTGCGTACTCCTCTCGCTCTCATTATTATTGTGGCAAAGTTGACATAACATAAAACTGGCCCTTGTGAACAGGCTGGAGTGCCCTGCTCAGGGATGTTGTGTAGCCACCCCCCCATCCCCTCCCACAACTTCCTCCCCACCCCACACAGGCTCGCTGGCACTCACTAAGCACCACCCACCTCCTCCCTCACCCCTGGAACACACATTCTACTCTCTCTCTCTCTCTGAATTCCCTGCTCCAGAGCTCTGGTCAATGGAGTTGTACAGGACCAGTTGTTGTGTGTCCAGCCTGTTCACGCAGCATAATGTGTTCATGGTTCATTCATGTTGTAACATGTGCCAGGATGTCCCTGCTTTGTATGTTGAAAGAGACTCCCTTCTAGGGACAACCCATGTTTGGCTCATCTTTCCTCCATCCATGGACACTGAGGATCTTCCCACCTTCTGGCTCTTGGGAGTGAGGCTGCGAGGATCACGGTGCACCAGGGTCTATGGGTCCCTGCTTCTGGTTCTCCTGGGTCAGCACCCGGCAGTGGGCCAAAGGGTAATTCTTTCAAGGAGGCATCACACTGTCTGCCATAGTGGCCACACCATTTTACTAGCTAACCTTTTAAAATTAAAGTGGTGTAGACCAGAGCTAGAGAACACATGGACTTGACTTTCATCTTTTCTGCATTTTCTGGTATCACACTCAGGTACTGCCATCTCCAGGAGACRTGAAGATGCACAAGGTCTAATGGCCACTCAGGGATCTTCCCTCCGGTGTAGAGGACCATCATCAACATGCTTCTGAGTCCTGTGTGCACACAGGGGACTGAGGCTTCCCTGTGGTTGGGCCACTCCCTCACACCTTCCTGAGTGACCAGGGACCACAGCCTTAGATGCACACTCCAAATACTCTGCACTCAGAGGGACAAAATGTTCCCTAACTTGGTGCTATCAAGAACTGGTGGGCTCAAGTATGCTRTGTGATGAAGCCTTGGATTAGCAGGGAGGGGTCTTCACAATTGTCTGGTTTCCCCCTGGGCCACCTCAGTACCCCCCTAGGCTTTGCCCTCTGCACATTACTGTTTGATGTATGGCCTAGGAACATTCAGGGATTACAGGAGCCTAGGAGATACATGAAAGTCAAGAGTCAGTTCCTCTGCTTGGCTTTAGGGAGAGTGAGACCCAGTGTGTTCATGGGCTGATAATATATTTACCACCTGGGGACAGAACAAGCCTTTTCCCTTCTGACTGGCTCTGGGGTTCCTCTCCAAGTCCCTKCCCCCAAGGTGAGCAGGACCCCTCAAGGTGTGGGGTAAGGGAGACCCTCTCAGCTAGTGCATAATGCAGGGATGCACCAGCTCTGCTACTGCAGTCACGGAGGAGGAGGTCTGGTTTCAATTAAAACACTCTTAAAAATACAGTTAGATCACTTTCCAGCATTYGGTAATTTCCTATTAATTTAACTAAGGTTCAGCATGGAAACACCCTCTAGAAATTGGTCTCAGTTAGTAAATAATGATTTGCAATTAGCACGTTGTGTATGAGTGAATGTCTCTAATGGCCCGCACATATTTCTTCTCTCAAGGAAGTGAAACTCCCTCTTTTATATGTAATTGATTTATGTTAGTAATCGACCTGCTCTTCTAAGAAGCAGTGAGCTTCGTCACAGAAGTGCTCAGAACATCCACATGTCTAGTTAGTGGTGGCGGAATGCATGAGAATCCAAAAGTCCATAGTGCACAAACCATTGTTAGCCCAAGAGCCTGGAGAGGAGGGGGACATTCGGAAATAATCTACAACACCTGCTCTGACCACACAGACTGTGTACATAGKCACAGGTGACCTGGGCTACTCCACCAAGAGCTGTGGGCTCTGTGGACCTTCTCCACCCCACTTGGGTGCAGCTGTCCGAGAACGGAGCATAGCAAGGCTTACAGGTGGGAGGTTAGAAAACTCACACAGAAGGACACCAGAATTTATTGTTTCTATTCAGTAGGCACCATTTTCCACATTTAACAAATTCTGTTTTGTTTACTCTTCAAAGGGCAATAAATGTATATGTCTACCTATATTGATATCATCCATCCATCCATCCACCCATCCATCCATCCATCAACCCATCCATCCATCCATCCATCCACGCACTCATCCATCCATCCACCCATCCATCCATCCATC